CCCCGGGGGCCCCCTCGGCTGCGGGGAATCGCTCCTCCCGCGTCCCAGCCGCCTCCTGCCCGCCGGGCAGCCCGGCTCCGTCACGCCGGGCTTTGGGCTTCGCCCGATTCAGAGCGGGGCGGAGGGGCGGTGCAGGGCTACGGTCCGGGTGAGGTGCCCAGCTCCTTCCCGCGCGTGCTTCGTATTTCTGTTGTCGCGCGCGCAGCCTGTTTCTAGCTTCTTGAATACGCCTGTGGTGGCTCTGGCGCTTGTGCTCTACCTTCGGGCACCGACGAGTGAAAACAGGCGCTTGACTCCTGGTCAGGACCCGGCCTTAGCAGAGAGAAAGTACGTGTGTCCCTTGTTAGCAGAAGACAAGTTATCTTGTGAGCGGCGCCACCAGTCTAGCTCTGTTTCCCCGGGATTTGTGACCTCCTCCCTGCAGTAGCCCCGGGCTCCCGTGTCCTCGGTGCTCCCAGCGCAGCGCTGCCCTCCTGCCCCGTCCCTGGCACGAGGGCAGCCAGGCCCCTCTATGTCTAATTCCAGCCCCATGGTGCTGCCAGGGCCTGCGGGTCCCCGCTGGGCTCTCCCCGGGAACGTTTCGTTGACGATTGCCAAAAGGTGGATTAGGAGACGGCACGACCACGCTAACTGATTTCCAGAGGGATGTGTGCAGGTGTGGTGCGGCCACCTCTGGGGTGGACCCAGACCTGCTGCTGGGGATGTCCTCGGTCCTGCATCCATGCGCGGCCAGCCGGCCGTGTCTCCCTGGAGCGGGGACGGCCTGGGACTATCTAGCAGGAAAGCCTGTCCTTGTGAAGTGCGCTGCCTGGAGCAGGGCAGCTTTGAAGTCCTAACTGGCACTGGCTTATTGCTATAAATATATACAGAGAGCGTTTTTGTGCTGTGGACGTTTCTGGACACACAACAAAGGGGGAGGAAGTGAGCACCTGGAGCGCCATGTGGGGAGCTCCAATCAAAGCATCACTGGATAATTTCCTGTCCATTTAGGGGTCATTACTCCTCCCTGGGAAATTCTGGGTGGAAACTCAGCTCTCTGCTACACAGGATCTCTAGGCTGAGTTGAGGCAATGACAAGTGCAGGTGCGTTAGCTAACATGGGCTAACATGCGTGTGCAGATGTCAGCACGCTCCCAAATCATCCGCTTTGCACACCCAGCAAGCACAGTGCATCCATACCCAATCTCCCCGTGTGGGGGGGACGAACACTTCTCCGGAAAAAGAGTCCCATAAAAATGATCAAAACTCTCTTTTTCCAAGGTCAAAATTTTGGGGTAGGAAAAGAGGATTTGTCTAAGAAAATCTGCATGTACCGTAAGCCTCTGCCACTATTAGAACTTTGTTGGCCAACCTGAAGGTGGTTCCTTCACCAGGACCCGGAGGCTGCTGTGGTTTCCGGATGCTCAGAGCTTCCTCACAGAGTCCTCAAGATGCTCTTTTATCTGTAGGAGTGCAAATGACCCTGTGGTCCTTACTAACCTGGAGTGAGGAAGGGCTGAGCTCCACTTCTCCTCTCAAAAGGCAGTGAGTGACCAGTCTGGTGGGCTGGTTCAATGAGACCTGTTCCCCAGCAACCACAACTACCATTCCTCCAGGAAGGACTCCACCTAGGATCAGGCTGCCAGGGACCCATTAAGTTGCCAGGACTTCCTTCTTAGAGGTTTCCTGACTCTCAGATCAGGCCCTGCCCAGCCGTTTAGTGAGACTTGAGGAAGAAGGAAGTCTTTCTTTCTCTACTCCTTAGCAGAGTGACCTGGACTAGCACCCCTCCAGCACTCTTTGAAATCTTTTCATTTCCTTCTTAAAGGGCTAATTAGATTATGCAGAAGTTGTTAGTAACACAGTAGACTGATCGTCTCTGCCCTGGACTGTCGTTCTCTTCTTGAAAACAGAATGTTTGGTTTTCTGCTTTTATTTGCATTTCAAGATGCGTGCTAATACAGGTGTGTGCTTTTGTTTGCCTTACCTTACTTACCACCTAGCTATGAAATGAAAATTGCCAAATCCCTCCGGGAGGAGAGCACTGATTGGAGATCTTTGAGATGCTGGATATCCTGCAGCGAAAACGGCGTAGGGAAGCTAGAGAGGCTGTTCTAGATCTTTATCAGGAGGAGTATTTTCATGCCTGACAGCATGTTTTCCTGATTGTTATTATTCATATGTTACCATATTTCCAGGTAAGTTACCTTTTGGAAGGGGCTGTTTTCTGCTCTGCTGCTTCATTGCGAAGAGCTTCTGCCACTCTCTCATGAGAAAAATTAAACTGACAGAAACATTAGATCCGCACAGTTTGAAGTTCATCACATTTCGTTGAGTCTTAAACAGTTCTCTGTGCAGGTTGGGCTGGACTTCACTCCGTGGCTCGTGCCACACCTCAGCAACGCGAGGAGCAGCAGAGAGTCCTCGCGCTGCAGCTGGCTATAGCAAAACAACTGGACTTACCTGTGTGAGGCAGAAACCTTTCTAACAGTGTCTCCCACAAACATCAGGCCTTAACTAGGCTAGACACCTGTTTCCTGCCTCACAGGCCCGCAGGCATCCTCTACAGAGCTCGAGGGATTGTTTTGAAGCTGGAGCTTATGCGAATGTGCAGTGGCTTGCGATTAAAAGAAAACCAATACTTGTGAGCACTTGCATCTAGGAGGGTGGCATCTCTGCCAGAAACGAACTAGAAAAATGTTCCTCTCCAGCTGTGCTACTGCTGAGAATGAGGGAGACTTCCCAGCCTTTCTCCCGAAGGAGATCTCATATTACGTTTTTTTTCACCTTTTTCTCTTTGTTCCCACATCCACCTTTCAATGAGAGCTCAGGTGTGCTCCCCAGATAGGACCACTCAGGGTATAGACATGTAATCACTATTCTCAGGCCTTTATTTTCAATCCTGTGCTATGTGATGTAGCCAAAGGAAGGGTTCCCACTGAAGCAAGGCAGTAAACTGAAGAGGGCCTGCTTTTTCCTGCAGGAGATTTTGCTAGTGACCTGGCAGTGCATGGCTGTGCCACACAGCTCTGCCTCCTGTCCCGCTCCATGAAGCCAGTTTGAGCCATCAGGAGAGGCTGCTCCAGGCTAGGGGTATCCTTGGGTAACTGGCTGTCAGCTATCGCACTTCCACCCTTTCCACCTGGCAAAACAGCTGTGCAGGTGGGATTGGAATAAAGGCTTATCACAGCCTGCTGCTTTTGATCACTGTCCTGATGGAGGCCAGTCAGGGCAGCCCCGGCCCGCCCTGCGCAGCTCAGCTGTAATGCGCTGGTCAAAACAGCATCAGGAGTGAGTAAAGGAGCACTTGAAACTCCCTGTGCACATGACTTCTGACACGTGTTCTGCTGCCAAAAACATAAAACACGGGGAGCTGGATCTGTGGAGAGGAAGATCTCTCTATATGTGGTTTGGGAAATCACTCGAGGGTAGCATCCTCTTAGCCTGTTTCCTTCCCTCAAACTGCCTGCCCCGTAGAGTCACCCTGCAATTGAAAATGAAGTCAGCTGCTTTTCCTCGCACTTTCAAAGGGCACAGATCAAACGGCACCATCGGTGGTAACTCTTCAGTGCCATCGTCTGAGTTTGTGTTCAGTGGACGTGCACCATCAACAAAACTAATGGAACTAGAAGGAAAAAAAACAGGTCCATCCTGCTCTTCCACAACTATCACGGTTGCATGCAGCAAGAGGGTGCAAAGCCTTATTGTGCCCTACACACGGCCCTCCTCCCGAGTGGCCTGTACTTTTATCTGTGCTCTGAGTGCAAAGTATAACTCCGCTTCCCTCCACAGCTGCTCTTTATTGCTGAAAGAAATATATAGCTTTCTAAAAGTAAACAAACTGGAACGTACGATAAAAATGGTAAACGTGTCGCTCTACTTTTCTAACTCGTGTTTACATTGAGCAGGAACGTGCACTCTCACTCAGCTGGCAGGGAAACAATTGCTTTCCTGAAGGAGGAAGGCAAGATTGCTCTTCCTTTTTTAAACAGCAGGTATAGGACATGGGTTTATACATCATTCCTTTTTGTAACCGGTCTCTAGGATCATTCTACTCGCGTTCAAGAACTGCACTCGTTCCCTCTGATTACATAGACGTGATGATAGGGCATCTCTGCCTTAAATGTATCTTTCAAGATTCGGTAAAGACTGCAGCGCTAGGTGGAAAGTACAGGGGAGATACTCAGTATTGATCTATCAGCATAAGTAAAGCAAAGTATGAACATTTATGTCAGGTGGAAAATAAATGAAACAGAGACCAGGAAGAACACCGCAACTTTGCGGGGAATGGTGGAAGGCAAAACAACTGCTTTCTCAACACTACCCAATACATTTTCTTTTGCATTAGAGTAAGAAGTGTATGATCTCGAGAGGGTTTTTTTTCCTCCCTCTGGTCTACTTTAAGCAGATCTGTGCATTACAAATTTGCTTTTCCTAATGGGAAAAAAAAGGACCGGCAGGAGACAGCAGGACAAAAATAAGTGCTGTTAGATCTGGAAGCCAGAAAGCTAGGCTGTAAAGATTTCTCCCATAATTATAAGTCCCAGCATGGGCCAGGCAGGTGCTAATTGAAAAATGTGTTGATTACTGGTCCTCTGCTGACCGATAAGAAGTTAATTTGGTGGTACTTGCCTACCTGCCCGTGGGTTGAGGGAAATTCAAGAGCTGTTTTGGTAGATTCAGCAGCCATCTCACCATAAGGAGGGCAGGGTTAACAAATCCAAGCTTTGTATTTTTTAGTGATTGTACTACTGACCCATAATCTTGGAGCCTGACACACAACTTTTGGGGTGCTCAGCTCCACAACCTGATCCTGGTGTCCTAAGCTCCCTCCCTGGGTTTTGTACGTGTGTTGTAGGTGTTCAGGAAGTACTGCTTCATAATTTCGCTGGAAGATTGTCTGTCACGCTGGAAGGGGTACAAGCTGGCTATTATTTTTCTTTTCCTCCAGCTGTTACAAGGCAAAATCAGGTTAGTCCTTGGAAAGGTCCTGGAAGCCATTTCAGCAGGGTTATAATTGGATCACGTGAGCCCTGGTCTTTTGCCTTCTCCTTCCTTTCCAGCTATCGTTCCCCAGTATCTGAACCACTGCAGGAGGAAAAGTGATACTAGTAAGGATGGCTGTGCCTGACTGGGTGGTGGATGCCCCTCTCAACTGGTTTTCCCTTCTCCCTATTGGAAAGAAAATGAGATATTGGGATTTGGGGTATTTGGAAAAAAGCATGAGAGAGAGATCTCATATAGCAGCTTGAAGCTGAGCCTCTCACAGCCCTGGCTGTTGTTTTTAAACAAAATTGCCCATTTTGAAACATTGAACTTTTTCAGTATTTCCCAGGTAAAATCAATACCTTTCCACACTTCTTAGCTGGAAGGTCAGTAAGAAATTCACAGTGAAACGGTTTGGTATTCAGAAATGAAAGAAAGTTTCACAAACATGTAAACAGTTTTGGGTCTCTCAAAAACGCATCCTCTCCCAGCCCCCAGCCAGGGAGCGGGCTGCTCCGCAGGGGACGGGCAGCCGGGGGGCAGCAGCAGGGCAGGCAGCGCCGTGCCCTCACCCATGCGGGCGCAGCCCCACCGTGCCCCAAGGAAAGCAGAGCAGGTCCAAAGACAGCAGCTGAGTCTGGGCTGCTTTTCCTGCCAAGCTGGCTGTTTTCACAGCCAGCTGGTCCGAGGGTGCGCTGCTGAGCCGTGTCCGAGCTGGCCTCCAACGCAGCTGGGGGAAGAGGCGACTCCGCTTCAGTCGCCCCGGCACTGCTGCACATGGGAAACGTTCCCCAGCTCTGCTCCTGCGATGGGGCTCCGGCTGCTACCTGTCCTCCCTCCGGCCCCGTGGAGGCACAAATTCATTTGCTTCCAGCACCTGCACATCCATCCTGGGAAGAGTTGAGCTGAGCTGAGCTGATGTGATACTTGCTGAGTGAGCTAACACTGCCTAGGTGAAAGGAAGCAATAACAAACTCTCCCTATGCATTCACTTGAAAAGGCTGGGAGCAGGAAGGCTTGAGGTGTTTCTGATCATGGTGTGCCTGAGCTACAGTCCCATTATGCCTGTCTGCAGCGCTTTCACCAGGACTTTAAAATAACCAGCGTCTTTTCACCGGCTTTGTGAATCTATTTTTTTGAGATCCCACATAGCTTTTGTCCTGCGCTCCTCCTAGGACCCGGACCCAGAGTTTGCTGTATAGTCTACAGAGAGAAGTAAACACCCAAAGCAGAGTTGTCTCAGGACCTGTTATTTCCTCTCAATTCCCCTCCTGAGGTTTATAAAAAGAATAAGCCATTTGTATTGTCTGAGGTCTTAACACACATAAATACTCTGTTTAGCCTGTGCTTGCAGTTCATTGGAAATATAGGATTATCTCCAAAGGCTCAAACAGTCTGAATGCCACTCTGGCAGATCTGTCACTTATTTTGCATGTAAGTTTAATACAGTGCCTGTTGCTACGTTGATTGCTGCAGTGAGAGAGAACCTTTTCATGTGCTATTCTGTCTCATTATATTTTCCTGGCTGCACCAGGGAGCAAAGTTAATTAAACAGATTCCACTGGAGAACATCTGCTTAGAGACCAATTCCCCTTCTCTTGGCCCAAACAAAGAGGTACAGTCAAAAATAGGCAGATTAGTCCCTACCGTTAACTTTCTTTAAAATTCTTTCCATATATTCTCTCTCAAGTTCATGAGCTCTTAGGAGCCTTAGCACTATGTAACATTTTGTTTTATATACATATATATGTGTGTGTGTGTGTGTGTGTGTATATATATATATGTATATATTTTACTGGTCTCTTCTTATTATAAAGAAAAAAAAAGAAGAGCCACAAGTAGTTCACAAGATAGAGAAGCAATTTGTAAGTCAACACTTCAGCTTCTGGGCTGACTTTATATGACAGCTGCTCCAGTAATAAATACTGATGAATATTTTCATCGACATTTCAAGGAGCCCTGTCATGTGCTGAGTGACTGTGGGAGCTGCTGCGTGCCCTCCGTTGCGACTATCAGGAGCTAGTGCTTGGCTAGTGCCGACTGGGTTTCTAGGCAGGCAGGATACAAAGGCAAATGGCTAGGCTTTCCTCTAGCTCTCTAAACACTTGGATGACCTACACATTGTAATTCACAATACATAAAGGCCTAGATGCTCTGGGATTGTCCCACCTGAGGAGTTTCCCATTGATTGACAGCTATGGCAGTAATGGCATGGCTGATTGGGGCACTAGACTTACCTTCCTCTGACAACAAAATGGAGGGAATTTTCTCTGAGCACTCTTGGACTTGCAGCTAATCTTGAATAGCTGAAATCTTGCCAGGTGTGCTGCAAAAGACAACTCTTTGAAAGGGTCTTTGGAGAATGCTTGGAGTGCTTTCCCAGCAAAGGAGCAGAAAAGAATCCCTGTTGGTGTCTGTCTGGCCGAGTTCCTGTTAAAATAATGAATGCTGCTGGAATGTTAACGCGTTATCCATAATGTGTTAACACAGCCAGGGTCTTGGGCAGGCATCTTTTATTGTTGTTCAGTCTAAACACAACAGTCTTGCTGACTTTTTGTTAGGCTGAGGTCTGCTGGCATCTTCCCTATCCAGTAGATTTAGACCTTTAAAGAACATTTCTCTCTTCCTGCTGATAACCCCTCTTCATAGAGAAATTGGGAACTTCCAGCTGTTACTAAATATTTGTTCTTCCTCAATAGCAAGAGCAGCAGCATTTCTCAAGCTTGGGTCAGCAGTCTGTCTTTAAAAATACAAGCACATTTCCGTACTAAGCTCTCAATGGATCCAAAATCATATCCCTTCCACTTAATTTTCAAAGGATACGCGTGCATGGAAGGGTCAGGTTAGTCACAATATGTCAGCTAGCGGAAGAGAGTTGGAAAAGTTAAGGCACATTACGGTGTTTTTCATGAGTATACTGCCTTAACTTGCCATAACTCTTAAGTCATCCAAGATCTCCTAAAAGTAAAGAAGAACTGTTATCCTTGTTGCTTTGAATGGTGGTTTCACTGCTTTCAGCTTCGACGTGGCTGTAGGTTCCTCTTAGACACGGCAGAGAGTGGGAGTTGTAGGCGGACGTCCTGCCTCTACAGAAGTCGACATTTGAGTTAGGATCCTGTCATAGTCAGTAGAGAGAACTTTTAAGGACCAATTCCTCTTACTTTATTGAACTCTTATACAGTGAGATGATAAACGGCCTGCGTTAGTAAGAAAACTGCAATTATCTCCCTGATGTACTATTCAGGAAGGGACGCATTGCATCCTAGCAGTTTCTGTTTCTTTCCATTGGCAATAGAAAGAACCTAGATGAGTTGCTCAGATGCAGCTGGCTGCATTTGGTAAGGCGAATCCTACTCCAGATGTCTGACACCATATCTCCTGCAATTTGGCAATTTTTTCTTAACAAACGTAGTGTGGCTTTTCTAATCACTTCTGCTCCACAGTCCTTTGATAAATCGGGTCAGTCTCATTTGGTACCTCTCACAAAACACTGCTGCTTTCTTTTAGGAAAGAAATGAACCAGGGAAGATCAGGATTGTCTGCCAGTACGTTGCAGCAGTGAAAGGAGCATCAGTGGGAAGAGTTTATGAAGAAACAACAACAAATGCCTTGAAGCTTTTCCCGAAAGTTAAATATTGTTTGAAAGAATGAATGTTTGTCAAATAAAACGAGAGCGTTCCTCAAAGACAACACTTCTGCAGTTTATGCTTTTTATTAATTTTTTGCAGGCATATGCACTTTTTTACTGCATATAAAGGATTCAGAGGGAAATTACAATTTATCTAATACATAAATAACCTGCTCATCTGAGTGAATAAGAACCCAAGAAATTTCACCTACTGTGCTTACAGTACATCGGCTTATTTTTTTGTACACAGACATTATTTGTGTACATAATTTTTCCCCCACTTGCTTTGGTAAGAGAGTCAAGGGCAACGTTCCGTTAGGTACGTCAAATTGATAGCCGACTACAAAATGAAAACCAGATGGCAGCAAAGCAGAGATACCGGATGTACATTTCTTCATCTTTTACACGGATCAAGGTATCTAGAAATGCTGATTTCTGATATTATTTACAACACCGTAGCCTGCTAACTTATTATCACCCATATTTCACCCATTTTTTTAAAATTCAGAACTGTGATACCGAAGGCAGAGTCATCGTCTATATTCCTGTCAATACTTAATAGATTGAGTCCAGGTCATTGAAAACAGCCCTACTGTGGGCGGTCATGTTCCCAAATTGAGGTGACCAGACAAATACCTGGAGCCACAAACAAGCTTCCGTAAGTGCCTTGTATCACAAATGCTGATTCTCTGAGGAGGATTATGGCCTTACCTTGTGGGGAGAGTGGGCAAATCTTGCTGGAATGAGGACTGCGTAGGAGGAAGAGGATGTTTACGTTTTCCTTGTATTTTCTAACAGCTTTCAGTTAAGAAATTAAAATATCCGACTTTTGTGTACTTTCTTTAAAGCTCAGCTTGCTGAGGTCTGTTCAATTCCGTGCTAAAATTGTTCATTTCTGGCTCAGTTAGAAGTCCAGAACTTTTGTTTTGTTTTGAGATTTCTTGTTCTGAGGTCACTTTCTCAAGCTGCTGTAGTTTAGGTTTAAATGACTCACCCAGAAGACAAGTACCCAGAGCATTCCTGCCATTGAGGTTTTGCACTAAGCAGAGATCAGCTTTTGCACTGAAAATCATAACTGAGAGTTAATGCATTATAAAAGAATGTTTACATTTTTGCCTGTAAAGACTGAAATACATGGTTTGAGACACACACACACACAAAGAAATCTTAACTGTATGCCTGATGTAAACAATTCAAAAAATCTCATTTTATTTTAGAGGAAGCGTTGGGATTTCGGCAACATTCTACAATCACAGTACTAAGGCATCAGCTCCTTTGTTCACTTCAGATTCCTATGCTTGGGCTCAAATCTTACGAAGACAGATTGACCTGTGGGTTTTGGGGGGCATAACTTAGATATAGCTTTGTGGGTTGGAAGAAGGACGTAACTAAGAATTGAGATCACTGAAATAATCTAGCTGGGGGTATTAGATACCTTGAAAGCATCACTCTAATGGCTGGGTTCCTTTATTTTGTGAAATGACTCGGATTCAAACAAAAAGGCAGCTTTTGACTGGTTTCATCCAAAGATGGCATTATCTGCAAGATAAAATTAAAATTTGAAAATAGTAATGAAAATAAGTTGCTCTTTCAATCGAATATTTTGCAGGAGGAACAATGACACCACTTGAAATAAGGAGACTGTGTTTCTAATTGCTTTATAATTTTCCTCGGCCTGAACATTTCAGTGAAAACTTCTGCCTGATAGCTATAGTTTTAGGCACAAGAAAATAATTACTGGGGAGTAAATTAATATCAGCTGCTTCCCAGTGACTGCCTGACAAATGAGACATATTTTACCTTTTTCACCGCTTTCAGGAAAACAGAATTTTGTTAATGTTTGCATCTACATGAGCGATTTCTGTCTCTAACAGGAATCTTCAGGGGGAACCAAAATTCTGGCTTACAGGGTAGATTATAAACAGATGCCAGCAGTTTTAAGCCAAACTTATGTTATAAGGCTTGACATCAGTGTTCTGTTTTTAGCTTAATTAATTGCCCATGAAACGTAGAAATCCAAGGACATGCACTTTAAGTGAACTCCTGCATTGGAGGTTTCTCACAGGATAACTTTCTCTTGCTGCGCAACAATGTCCTTGGCCCTGCTTCTCATGCAGACGGATGCACATCAGAAGCAATGGCTGTGAAACCTGTGAAATACAGCTGCGTAAAAAGTCAGGAGACAAGTATCAAGACTTTGCCTTGACGCTTGAGGCAATTTGTTTTGCCTTTTCCTTTCTGTAAACTTGTTTACTGTGAGGGTGACTGAGCACTGGAACAGGTTGCCAAGAAAGGTTAGGGAATCTCCTTCCCTGGAGATATTCAAAAGCCATCCGGACACAATCCTGAGTAATGGGCTCTAGGCGACCCTGCTTGAGCAGGGGGGGTTGGACTAGATGATCTCCAGAGGTCCCTTCTGGCCTCAGCTGTTCTGTGATTGTGTGATTCTGTTTAGGAAGCTATTTCTGGAGATAAATATCCCTGAACATGGAATTGTATTGCCTTTACCTCATGAAATTCAACCTGGTTTTACTTCACCAAGATCCTTACAGTTGTGGCAGAGCTGAATTTGAACTCACGTTGATCTGTTGTAAATAAACTTACTTCTTTCTGGAAAATGTCTCCTTTCCTTATGGTAAAGGCAGGTAACTTCCGTCCAGGAACTCCTTCCACTGTCAGGCTGGGGCTCTTTTTCCCTAAGGTTCTCTAATGAACTCCGATTGCTTTGCGGGAAATGTCTCCTCTGAGGTCTGAGCCAAGTTGAGTCATTTTGCCCTTCTACCAAACATCTGGACTCCTTTGCCATGTTCAGGGCAATCAGGTGCTTTTTTGCTGCCTCAGACATCGTTTGAAGAAAGGTGTCTTCTGTGCAAGAGTCCTGTGCAGAAAGCAAATGAAACTGTGCGCGCTGTACTGTCAGGCAGAGAAAGGAGATGACGCTATCTAGTTGCTAGGGAAGTGAAACCTCAGATACGCCTGCAACTGTAAAACATAAACTTAATTCTAATCTCACTGTGATAGCACTAATTGGCAATAACTCTGCCTGTTATATGGCACTGATAGAGTGGCAATAGAGAAGGAAAGAATGAGAAAAGAATAAAGTCTAATTTCTTCCTTTAAAGAGTAAATGTTATCTTTGGATGGACTTTGAGGTTATCCAAAATTCAACGGAAACATTTGGTTAAATGAAATCAGATTTGAACCAATGTGTACACCTTCTTTCAAAAGAACAGCAGTCACTTAGGACCCTAAAGCTACATCTATGCTACTCAACCAAAGTGTCACCGCCCTTTCCCTGGCCCTGAGGCCAACTGACAGCCTGGTTACACCTATGATGTTAAATTCTCCTGTCCTTCCAAAAGGGTGGCTGCATCTGAACCACCCGCGGGGACAGGAAGGTCCCTGGCACGTGCTAAATCCTGACCTGTGCCAATGGTAATTGGCCCAGGCCAAGATCCTGCCAGGGATCGCAGTAACAGATTAACACTGTAGATGACTGGGTTTCAGTGACCACGAACGAGCACTGCTTGAAATACCAGTACAGACATGGTGCCTCAGGAGCATTTTACACGGACATACGTTCCTAAAGCGAAAGCAGACTAGGCAGCTGTGCTTTGTAGCTTTGCTTAACGTTTCTTTCAGTTTCCACTAGGCTTCTCCTTGCCCTAACATCCTGTTTTTGAAAAAGGCGAAGTAGTTCTAGCAAGCAGCACTTGAACTTGAAGCCAGGCAGAAGAACTCTGAAGAATTTACTCTGCATCTGACTTCAAAGGAGAAAAGTAGAAATAAATCAGACTTTTTCCTGGGACTAGCGAAAAAGGCAGGAAGGACCTGCATCTGATATAGGTAACTTTATTTAAAAAAAATCTGTTTTCTGACACATACCTGTGATCGCTGAATTCAGGATGCACCTCCAGTAGTTTCTAAAAATCTACAGTGCCTGCACCCATCACTACTGATGTTCGGCTAAGTACTTGGGGGAAGCAAACATAGCCAAATTAATATTCTGAGGCGTGTGTTTATGTAATTATTCATGTTGAAAATCACATCAGGAACTGTGGCTTAGATCACCTGATCTTGTGAAAAATACCAGCTCATAATTTATGAGGAAACTTAAGACTCTGGTAGCTAGGCATATCTACTAGACAGACACAAACCTGATTACACGCTAACAGATCCACAAACAATTCGCGGCATGTTATTTGCTGAACGTACACCAACAGATTTCCTGCAGAGGCCAGTAATTTACTTCTAACGTTGTTAACAAACTTAAACGTTGCTGTATTTTCTAAAGCTCTTTGGAGAACAATCTACCTTTTTATTATGGCGTTGCGTTGACGACAGGAGAATCATGATCCCGTGATGGGGCCTGCTAGACACTACGCCTATACAAACAGGTATCAAGCGGGGTTTAAGAAAAGACTTCCCACCGAAGTAACACGTAACCGTGTAAGAACACTACGCACCTGAGCCACCCCAAATTTCGGAGGCTGAGCGGGAAGGAGGAACGTTTTGCCGAGGCTCCGGACCCGCGGCGTGGATGGGGGGTCACCAAACGCCGGCCCGGAGGCGCTCAGCCAAGCAAGGGGCTCATGGGGATGAGATTACGGGAATGAGATTGTGCGGCTGCTCCCCCTGAGATGCTGTGGGGATTATCGGCATCGTTTTCGTCTCCGTGCGCTTCTCGGCCAGCTGCACTGACGGTCCCCACAGGTCCAGTTTAAACCAGAACTAAACGATTGTTTTTGTTTCTTAAATTTTAGCTATGGGGTTTCGAGCGACACATTTCAAAACGCCTCGCTTTGCGTCCTGCGGGCCGGTTTTAAGGACCCGTGGCAGAGGAGAAGACCCCTGCGAGAGGACGTGGCTTGCTGCCCGCGGCCTGGCGAGCGGCTG